CTCACAGACACACCCCAGTGAAATAATAGACCATTCCAAGCTTTTACTTGTTGTTAAACAAATGTTTAAACAACTCTATTCAACTGATCTGAAATATCCCAGCAATTAACGCTACAGATTACGTTATTTCAGTGGAGCTTGTTTTAATTATTTGTATAACACTGATTTGATATATCCCAGCAATAATGCTACAGGTAACATCACTTTAGCCAGTTTATTATTTTTTCTGTAGTATAATACTTGATCGAAATAAAGTGTCGTATCAGCTATATTCACAGAAGTAAATTACATATAGATTCACTTATATTCTAATTAGTCTGTCCTGACACTTGTTTTGTATATTCTGCTTTGTCTGTAAAGAGCAATATTCTGTCGTATTCTACTTAGAAGTTAGACTACGACGGATATTGTTTTTGTTTTACTTAGTTTTCATGAATCGCTGTTCCTGCCCATCTTCGAATGGTTTTTGGAAACACCTTTTTTAAAGTCTGCCCTTCATTTTTAAATATTAACAAACTTCCTAAATACAATTTTCTCCTCATCTGCATTACACTAATGTATGTATCTGCATGTTGATAGGCTTAAATGACATTCTGCGAGAAGTAGTGTTACAAAAAGTATATCCGACTCCACCTAACGCTTAGTTCTTGGACTTTAGGGCTTCTTTGGAGCAATTAAGAGAAACAAAAACAAGTTAAAAGCTTATTAAATCTTCAAATGTGACAATGCACATGAAACATGAATATGATTGATGAACAAATAAACTGTCTTTTGTGTGTTCAGTATCATTTAGTCAACAAATATGTATATTTTTTACGAGTCAGACACAAATACTGAAAATTTCTTATCCCCGTTAGGTTCATTCAGCTCTAAAAATGTTTTACTTGTTTGAAAGTGCATAATTCAAAACAAGTAATTTAGAATCTTTCTATAGTTAACGATCTTACAACTGTACGATTATATATACATATAATTATATTATGTGCTTAAAATACAAAACAAGCCTTAACAAAAAATACAATGCTGCACAAAACATAGTCACCTGGGCACAGGCTATAATGTGAGATATAAGGTGTGTTCTGGTTTTTGGAGTTGACTGCGGAAGTAGGGGTGGGGATATACCGTCTATTAGACTTAACCTCCGTTCGCAAAGCTTGACATGTAAAATACGAAAAAAAAAAAAATTGAGAGAGCAAGATGTGGGTTCTTAAGCCCACAGCGCCCCCACATCTATATCACCATTCACTACCTACAGACAGAAGAAATCTATGTATATAAGCGCGAATATCTCTCTCTGTGGGTCTGTTCCTTATGTTCAGCCACATCTTTAAAGATACAAACTCCAAACTCGGGGTACAGATAGAACTTTGTGCGGGAAGTAACATGGGCAATGTGTACGAAGCCTCAGAGGTCGTTTTGAAGCAGAAAATTGAGGCCAAAGTGACCAATATAGAATTTTTTGACAAACAGGACGACAAATTGGTCTGAAATTGAAAGGGCCGGATTTTTTGGTAATATATAATCAAGAGGGCTATTATTTACGTTTCTTCTCTGTGTGAGGACTTCTCTTAATCATTCTATCCATGATCAGTTATGTGTTTAAACGGCTTAAAAACTCCGTGGAGCATTCATTTGCTTCTCTACGCATTCTTTCTTTGCTCCCTCCCTCTCTCTCTGCTTTTTCCCTTCCTCTTTCTTTCTTCTACACATACATGCCTACTCTCTAGCTTCCCTTAACTGAAAAAGGCTGGTGCTTTCTCTCGAACATGTGCGCACATTCCCTCAACTAAATAGGCTTGCTTCAGCCATATCTTTTGCTTTGCTTGCGTGTACTCGAAAGAATTAGCTATACGATGACTTTACAAAAACGTTTGGTATCGGAAAATGTTCATTTACGTTGTATTGGAACGACGAGAAGAAAATAAATAAATTCGTCATTAAATGTAATGATAATAAAGTCAGAATACGCTGCAGACGACACTTTACCACACAGCAGAAAACAGGACACCAAAAGGTAGGGAATGTTTGTTTTGGAAACTTGAAATGTCATGAAAACAGTTTTGCTTTGATTAAAATAGCTTTAGAAAATTATATTTTTTTCCAGGTATTGTTATTCTTATTGATTTTAATAAAAATATTTAGTTAGGTAAAGATATCAGTTTGATTTTTTCGCCAAAAATCACGATAAATATGGTTGATTTAATAAAAACAACACAAGATATTTAAAGCCATTTTCTGCTAATGAAAAATAAATGAGAAAAGTTGGTATTCCAGCCCCAATATGGTTGTAAAAGCTCAAATTAATAAAGTAATATTAGTAGCACAGCAGACAAATCATATTAAAATAAAATCATGCACACAAAAGCCACATACACACACAAATAATGCTACTACAAAGTTCAATTATGCTATACATTATACAAAAATAAGTTAGAATACATATTTAGAGAATAATCAGATTAGGATGTGATGACAAAAGTTAAATAATTTAAAGACGTAACATGTTTGTTTGTTTGTTATGGATTTCGCGCAAAGCTATATGCGCTAGCCGTCCCTAATTTAGCAGTGTACTTGGGTTACTCTTTTATAAACGAATAGTGGGATTGACCGTCACATTATAACGCCCCCACAGCTGAAAGGGCGAGCATGTTTGGTGTGACGGAGATTCAAACCCGCACCACAAAGATTGCGAGTCGAGCGCCCTAACCACTTGTGACATTAAATTTAATTCCATCTTCAATTGTTATGGTTTCAAACTTTTTTTTTAACTGTCATTTATATTTTTTATCGTGTTGTTGTAATCAGTGCTCAAATTAAAGAGTGTATTATTTAAATTGTTAAAATAATATTAATTTCTTCTTCCTTGCTAATACAATCATTCACATGGGGAAATATCTCGAGAGTGAAAGTTTACTGACTGGCCTGGCCTCAATGAAGGAAGGTACGTTTGTACATTCATCTTCATCATTCTTCTTGTGCCAAATAACATGTGAAATCAACCAACCATTGGCAAAATTGATTTTTAGTTTGCTCTTAAAGTTGTTTTACGTTAGTTATTGTTAAATCGTAATTTGGATCGAATTTGTGACTGAATAATGAGATTATTAAATTCACGTTATATAAATATATACGAGCGTACCAGTTTAGTGTACAAATTTCTTTTACACTTATGGAGTTTTCCTTGTTAAGTAGTTAAAATTCGAGCACTGCTTATACAATACGTGACGGAATCGAGTTTTTTGATAATTTTGCTGTTGTTTCAAATCAAGAAGAGTGTTCTACACGAAAATTCGTACTAACAAAATGTTTTAAGTGTATCTATCTATGTATCTCTTACTTTAAAGTTCACCAGGTTTGAACTTTAGAGAATGGCCTTGCAAAGTTATATTTAATGATAACTAAGTAGCAGTATGTTTCTATGGTGAACTTTATTTTACGGCTATATTTACTTATTTACTTTAAAATTTATATATATTTAGCAAAAACGTGTTGTGGAGTCCTTGCATTGCAAACCAGTTTTGTATATTTCGATATTTTTTAATACAAGAAAGAGGAAACCAAACACTAGTGATGCAGAAACCAAGTATTATAAATTATGTTGCCTAGATAGAACCTTTAGAACACTTCTTATACGCAAATGACTATATAAAGGTGTAAAAAAAATCGTCCCTAGTAAATGTCGTGAAAAGAGTTTAAAAAAGGTGGCTCTGGATATTAACAGTTCCGAAATTTATTCTACTTGTCTAAAGAGACACCCCCCCCCCAGGGGCACAACGGTATGTCTGCAGCCTTGTAAAGCTAGCACAGATAGCCCTTTGTGTAGCTTTATGCTTAACTACAAACAAACAAACCAAAGAGAAAAGTTCATTTTTTAAAATCAAGATATGCGCATATTTATCTTATTAAGTCTCTCACAATATACGTTTATTTATTACATCATAAAAAATATATTTATTTCATTTTGTCGTTAACGTATTTAAACGAAATAAAAATATTGGTTTCAAATTTATGAGAAATAAAATATAATCATGTTGTACGTACCGCAAAAGAAAAAATAGCCACTTGATCTCATTTTGACCATGTCCTGCATCAGACTTTCATGAAAAGATATAGATCCCGACAAATAAAACATATACATACGGACATATGTGTATATACAAGTAGCTGGGTAAACTAAAGTCTGAAAATGTTCTTGACTGTTAGGTTTACCACTAACTTTTTCTCATTTCGATGTTGTTCTGCATGGGAATGCCAAATATAGTGACGTGCACATGCAACGGTCCAGAGCTTACTGTTTGTGAAATACCGTGTATTTCCTGTTAGTCGAGGCCGTCAACCGTGTATTCTGTTAGCATAAATTGTGTGTTGTTATCAACAAAAGTCACTGTAAACAATAGTCCTTTGTTGGGCCAGTACGCTGCTGGACAAATAGTTGGGAGAAGTTAAGAATAAATTCTTCCAACCAGACAGTTAATAAAAATAAAAGCTAAAGTCTTAGCATCTACCTGAGCGCCATCTTTCGGAAAGTTAAAAAACAATTATGATTTTTTTTTCTATAAGTACTACATAATGAGTATTTTTTTTATGAATTCTGTAAAACTCATTCAATTCATAGTGTTAAGATTCTCGGTCCTATCCTTTAATTAGTCACAGCAACAATAACAGAAAGGCAGGTTACTGTTATGACGTTCATCGAGAGATTATACGTAATGATACCGACTGATTCTGAAGCAGACAGTATGCTTTCGAATAAACAGACCTTCCTTCGTTAGAGTGGATTTGAGAAAGAAAGCCTTAAGTGTTTTTCAATTATGAATTGATTTGGAAAATATGTTCTACACCTAATGACGTTTTTCGACTCTGGTTCTAAAATGGATATAAATTGTGAGAAAAAGATTCTTTATCAACCAAATAAAAAACAATAAAGATAGAAAGTACCATATCTGTATATTATACTGTGAATTAGAGTCTAGTAAATCATGGACAACATACAGAGGGATTGTAAAGAAAATACCTTATTTAAAGGTAGAGTAAGGTGGTATAAAGTTTACTTTGCTGAATTTCATATAAAGCTACACGAAGGTTATCTATCCGCTAGCAGTACTAAACTTCCAAGTGATAGACTAAAAAGACTGCGGCTAATCAAAATCAGCTACTCTTGTCAAATCAAATAACGGAATTGGACTGTCACTCGTATAACGCAGCCACGACCCTAAAGTGGGGAGCATAATTTATTTTTGACGGTAAAGGACCGCGAACCAAAAATCAACAATTGGGCACATTAACCATCGGGCCGCGCTCGATTCCATAAAGTAGGAGGCAGTCAGATCAATATTATCTATCTTCTGCTAAATTTTGTAGTTTTAGGATCTAAAACAGAAAATATGCAGTAAAGGTCAGACACCCGCGGTACTTGATATTTCCATATTACATATCCTCACCTCGCAATTAAACCAAAGTCCAGTTAGATATCAGACGAGTGCTCTACCAACCGATTTAAGGATTCATCCCTTAACGGTTGATAGTAAGTCACTTTTTATTAACTAAAACTACTACACGTACTGGTTCATTAATGAAGGAATATATTATCTGCATCTCACCAACCACTAACGAATATTATATGCAAAAGTTCTCCGTATCAATCAATAAAACGGTTTTTTAATGTTTTCTCATGCGAAATATTTGTTAGAAATATTCACGTAGGCCACTAATTAAGCAACTATGAGTAATGGTATCATAGTTGATATACTAGTTATAGTATGCATATATAGGTGATGTGATATTAGTAGATATGCTAGTTATAACAAACTTCTATGTCTTGTGTTATTATTAGTAGATATACTAGCTATGAACGTGTTGTGATATTATTAGTAGATATACTAGTTATAACAAGTTTCTACGTGTTGTGATATTATTAGTAGATATACTAGTTATAACAAGCCTTTACGTGTTGTGATATTATTAGTAGATATACTAGTTATAACAAGCCTTTACGTGTTGTGATATTATTAGTAGATATACTAGTTATAACAAGTTTGTACGTGTTGTGATATTATTAGTAGATATACTAGTTATAACAAGCCTTTACGTGTTGTGATATTATTAGTAGATATACTAGTTATAACAAGTTTCTACGTGTTGTGATATTATTAGTAGATATACTAGTTATAACAAGTTTCTACGTGTTGTGATATTATTAGTAGA